TCTTACTTTACTATGATAAACGACATTCTTTTCTTTCCAACCTAATATCTTTTCAAGATGCGATTAAACCGTCTAGCAAGGCTTGAAACGCTGATTTCAGATCTACCTTTCTTATCTGCGGAGCGTTTGAGCGAGAAGTATGAGAGTTCAAAAGGTGGAAATCGGTCTGGGGCACAGAAGTATAATCAGAAGCGACACTAACGCTATGTCTTTTTTAGTGTAGTGGGTAGTGTGGTGTCTTACAAACGGACGCTCCCAGGTTCGATTCGTTGGTGTTTTTCATTCTGCTGGTCTGCAAAAACTTATATGAGCACGGGCGTCGTTCATGCACAATTCCCTCCCCTCTTTCATTGCAGTTCCAATACAGTGTGTGTCTTGACGGGCAGGCTCAAAACGCACTGTATAAACGAATTAGCTCTCATGTTCTCGTCCATAGTCTCAGTTATGGTTTATGCGCGTTATTTCGTTCTAAAGTTACTATCATTGATTTACCATCGGTCTATTGCAGCGTCCAAAAATTCTTTGATTTTTTCCACCAGCGGCTACCTTGATGCACATCTAAAAAGTTTGAAAACGTCCGCGCAGTCGCGTTTTCCTCCATTTTTATAGGTGTTCACTCAAATTGTTCGGAAGTAGTCTTTATTCGCTGCTCTCAACGGAAGAGATGCCTATGTTTTGCACAGTTTGACCCCTCTTTTTATCAATGCACAAAATCTTCTAAAACCTCGAGTAATACAGCTTCTTCGAAAAGAATTGCTAAAAGAGCGAAAAGGTTGTGTATGAGCGATGTCTAACTGAAATTTTGCAGACTTCAAGAAAAAACCAACACGGAAATTACTGGGAGCGTTTGCCTTCAAGACTATATCAGGTTCAAGAGCGATTTATTACAACAATGTTTTACCAAAAAACCATTTTACTCTCCCGGTTGCAATTGTGAGGCGTAACGCTTTCAAGACAACATGTTTACTGGAATCAAAATGTGATTAAGGATTTATGCGAAAGGGTGAAATGTGAAAAGCAAAGATTACTATCTGAGTTGCTGCAGGTACTAATCCTACTGCTCTTTGTTTAACTAACCTGCTTTTTTGCTGTTCGTTCCCTTCGCCTGGCAGCACTTATTTGCCGATCTAAGTAAGACTCAGATCTTTCCGCCAGATTGAAGCCTTCTGATCTTTTTGGGGTTCTTGAGTGTCTTCGAACTTTTGTTGGGGTTCTTGGTTTGACTTTTTTGCCGAGCAATGACGAGTGCGAGGGCGAAAACGCTAATGTTGATGGTGTCTTTATTTTCGCATGTTTCACCACCGGAAATTTCGCAGAAGCAAGTCCGGATTCTGAAAGAGTTTGCATGGAATCTCCATTCGACCTAGCCCTTGTGGCTGTCTTCAGCTCATCACTTTCAGTGGGAGTTTTCGACTTAGCGACAGTTACCTTTTCTCTTTTTTTCCTCTTCGATGTCTTCCGCCTCGCTTTGGCTGACTCTTTTGTACCTACACCTGATGTATCAATCTTGATTACTCTGACTGCTGAAGACTTTCTGGATGACTTGCGAGAGCCTTTCTTTGACGATTTCTTTGGTGGACGGTATGGATCTATTGGCTTTTTCGGACGGTGCTTGTCCTCCCATTCTACCAATGCGGCTTCTAGAGCATTTTTTACCATTGCTATGTAATCCTTTTGGCTTGATTCCTTCTCTCCGTTCAAAAGGAATCTACTAAACGGTTCCGCATTTTTCGAGCGATCTGAAGATTCACTTCTTGTGAATGTACGCCTTATTTGCGTTTGGGGTAATGGAGCCTCGGGCGTTTTATCGGGATAAATGTTTGTGGTAGTTTTTGTTTTAATCTCTTTATTCTTTATCACCGCTTTTGATGGATCATATCCAACACCATCTGGAACCTCCTTTGTAGTGAGAATCTCTGTTCTAGTAACCGTCTCCTTCAGGTAAGATTTTTTCTTTTTCTTTGATGTACTTTTGCTCGAAGATCTTGTTTTTGGAGTAATAATTTTAGGAAATCTTTGCCTTTGCTCTTTAGTTTTCATTGAAGACGCATCGTATTCCACCATTTCAGTGTCTTTGTCTACTTTTTGTGCTAACTCCTCATTTGTTGGTCTTCCCTCCACAGCAGTTTTTGTTAACGATTTGGCTTTCATTGTTTGTTCAGATGCCTTGCTTTCTTCGGTTTTTCTTACATTT